ACACATTTATCCAGTTCCAAAATAACAATTAAATAAAAGGATGATCCAAAGGTTCAAATCCGTCCAACACTTTTCCAAAATCAAACCAGTTCAACATAATCAAATAAATTATAATAAGTTCATAAACGCGGAAATAAGTAATAGTCTTAAAAAGCAAGACCACCCACTCGCCTTGCCTCGTCACCCGTCAACTGCTTAACCTGCATCCGTGAAGAGCAGGTGGGAGTGAGTACAGTTGGAAATATCGTACTCACACTATGCATATGAATAACAAAATATTGGTATGGTCGCAGCATGAGCATAAACAATAATCACATCATGTCTCATCTTCTATTCAATATCACCATTTAACCTTACTCCTGTGCACATCTATCGCTAGCCGCAGAATGGGGATTCATTACCCAAAGGCGGGAGTACGTGCCACTGTAACGGACATGGCCTTTCATATGGGCTTACGTCCCTCACACGAGCACGGCCATATCAGGACTTAAGGAGATTGCCACATAACGGCACCGTACCGTAACTCGACAGGGACAGCGACGGCCGTAACAGCTCACATCGATAGGCTATATGTTCACATGCATACATAGATCATACCAAATTTTCAACACAATTAAAACACACATATGCATAGAAATTTTAGAAAAACTAACCCACCTGGTAGTTCGGATTGACGATAGCAAAATCAGAAAGGACGTAGGTTGAGGCTTGACTCCTCAAACACCTACATTAAGTCAAGATTCTACAATCAATATTATGACTTAAACGGAAAACACAAATCAGACTTAGTCGAACTTGATTCAACTAAGTTGTTCCTGAAGTCCTGTGGACGTTGGAACACTTAGACTCGGCACTATACTCAACCAAATCACACATGGGAGTTCACATAAGTCAAACTAATTATTGACCAAGTCAAAGAAACAAGAAACGGAAAGCGAGTCGATTTACAGTTTTTAATAAAAAAAACCATATTCTGAAATTACTAGTCAATAATCAAAAAATTAAGTTGATCAGGTTTCCCAATGAATTAGACTCTGAAATTTTAACCAAAAATACACCTCCTAGTACTTAAAAAAACCATCAAGTTTCAGCCTCAAATTCACTATACACAATTTTATAAAATTCATAGAATATAATAGCAAAAACGAACATAAATTTATATCCAAACCTAATGAACGAATCATGACCTGATATTTTAACACCACAAACTATAGCATGTGAGTGACAACATATAAAATTTCAGCCATGGACATTAACTGCGCAAATTTTAAAAATTCATATAAATTTTGGCAGTTTTCGAATTTTAACTAAAATCGAACCAATTTGAACTCCAAAAATTCTAATCTCTTTAAAGAATGAAACTCCATATAAAATAAGTACTTCAACCAAATATCAGGATTTTCCAGCAACTGACCAATTTATCATAATTAAAACAACTTTCTGCAGAATCAGAAAATAAATTATTTTACCCTATCAAACTTAGTCCAAAATTATTAAAAGTTTTACACAGCATATAAACATGACAGAGGAATAACATAATCAACTTTCAGCATAATTGAAGCACGGAAAAATTTATTATGCACTAAAAAAGTTTCTGACCAGAAATGACTTTATTTATTTAAAATAGTTATAGTCCCTGAAAAATTATGAAATTTTTACACAAGCCTAATGCTCAGCAGAAGACATGACCCTCAAAATTTCAAGGCAATCCGAGCAGTTTGTGATTTTTAATAATTCTAACACTAAATCAGCGAGTAAACGAGTTTGATAAGCTCACACATGATACATAACATATAATTCTCGCCCGAGGCCTTCCCATAAGGCCAAGGACTTCGACATGGTTCCAAAATCCACAGCCTTACACGAGTTTCAAGGTCTCTTTCGATTCGTTATAATCGACGAGATCCCCAAAAACACAAACAACACATTAATTTCCAATTTCACATAATATCATATCGAGTACATTAAATCGCAAAGTAAGCACATCATCACGTCAATCACACAAATGACGCAAACAATATATACGATTTAACGAGACGGGGTTCGACTAGGTACCATTCTCGGGAAAAACTCGGAAAACCGGAACAAAAAGGTGAGGGGAGAGCTCGCGGTGGCTAGCGGCGGTGCTCGGCGGCTGCGCTCGACTTGCGAAGGAGGTACAGCGACGGAGGAGTGTTCGTCGCTGCTGCTAGTCACGGCCAGAGGTCGCTGCTCGATCGGGAAGGTCACCGGAGTTGCTGCAAATCGCGGTGGCGCGTGGAGGAGCAGTTGACGGTGGTGGGTCGCGGTGTTGGGGCTTCAGTCGCTGGCCACGTGATGATGTCTCGCGTGAACAGGGACTCGTGATGGCTCACCGGAGTTGCAGGTTTGCGGCAAGGGGCGTCGGGGTCGCTGCTGGTTCACTTCCGGCGAGAGGAGATGGCGTCGGAATGGCTGGCGACTCGCGAGCAGGCTGTGACGGCGACGCGATGGTGTTGATGATGATGGGTGATCGGATTACAAGGGGAAAAAGGGGATGGTGACGGGAAATCTGATGAGAGGGAGGTGATGATGATGATCGGCGATGGTGGGTGATGATGATGATCGGCGATGGTGGGTGATGATGATGATCGGCGATGGTGGGATCTCAAGAGGAAAACGAGCGAGGGATTTGGACAAGAAAACGAGAGCAGATGCGATCTTGCGAGAGAAGAAAATTGAGGTTGCGGGAAATCTGTGTTGAGAGAAGTGAGCGTGATGTTTTAAAAAGAAACGACCGAGCTTAGGGTTTAAGGAGTCTTGATCTCCAAGAAACACTCACACACGCTCACTCACACACACATGCACTTTCATGGGTGGACCGGGTCGGGCAAGGGCTGCCGGTTCGCTGGGTTCAATGTGTCGGGTCGCGCGGCTTAACATGGCTCGGGTTCTCGGGCTCGATCTCTCGGTTTGTTTTAGCCAAATTAAAATGGCTCGGTTCGCTCGACAATTTAACAAAATAAAAAACCGGATATTATTTATATATATAATACACTCATAAATTAATTAATAATAATACACACAATACTTATTAATAATAATATTAACATTAAGCATTTAAACAATTAATGACATTTAACCATTCAAATAATAATAATAATATTAATAATTATAATAATAATAATGACAATAATAAATAAAACTCTAAATAATTCATAAATAAACGGAGCGCTACATCCAGCTTCTTTGTTAGAATGGCTATTTGATGCTGATTTGAGTTTGGAATTTTGAGCTCCACAAGAGAAGGTCCACTCTAGTTTGTTTGATTTTTTCCTTCAGCTTGAAAAAAGGAGTTCCAATGACAGAAGTGAGCCATGCTTTATTGACAACATCTTCAAAACCTTATTTACTAATCCACCTCTTATCAAAGTTGAACCTTGACTTCATTTTTTCCTTAGGAAGCCCCAAATTAAGAATAGAATGATCAAAGGAGCTTCTAAGAACATTTGTAACTAATGCATTTGGAAAAGATAGGTGCCAATCAAAAGAGCCAAAAGCTCTATCTGGTTTTTCCTCAACTAATCCTGCATCAGCTCTGTTATTCCACTAAGTAAATTGATAACCACTCATTTTTAATTTCCTCCATCTCCATATTGTTGATAAAGTTGTTAAAACCCCAGAAGCTGTTACCATCCTGGGAATACCTCCTGATTTCTCAGTGCTGGAGCAACTATCATTCCAATCTCCAATAGCAAACCAGTTATGTCCCCAAGAGCTTTTGTCAATTTCAAATTCCTCCTATTGCTCACCCCTTAACTGCCTGCAGGTGCTTAGATACACAAATATGCCCCAGTGAGGCTCATGAGAGGCTAACTGAAAATTTACAGCAATATAGAAATCCTTTCTCTACCTCCTTCAAGGAATCTACAAGCAATCTGGAGATCGGATCGGGGCAAGGGGGTGGCGCGTGTCCTGGCGCCTCGGCGGCTTGCGCGCGGCTAGGTGTTTGGCAGGGACTCGCGGACGGAGCTACAGCGGGGCTTGCTGATTGCGGATCGTTGTTGAGGGCGAGGTGCATAAAGCCTGGATCTCGATCGCGAGCGGAGGGCATCGCTACAGGGATGCGCATGCAGTGGCTACGAGAGGAGCGCGGGGCAGCGAGGCGGGAGCGGCGGCAAGAGAGGGCTGCGCGTTGGGAGTGTGGCCGAAAGAGAGAGATGATTAAAGGGGTGATTTTGTTGTGAATATTTGAGGATGAAAGGGGGAGTGGTTTTGGACCAGAATTGCTCTGAAACTTCTAAGGAAGAGAGTGAAAATGGCGTGTGAAACAAGAGGAAGGGGTGTGATATTCCCTTAATTAATAGCCATCAAGAGCTTGATTTGCTTAGCCAAAAACGGTCACAATGCTCTAAGGAGCTGTTCCAATATTACCTAAAATAAGTCCCCCAACAATTTGAATTTTGAAGCCAAACTAATGGGACCAAGACTTTATGAGGGGCGGATTTTTGGTGCAACTTGGGCCGGATTGTTCAAAGGAAAAAGTGCTGAAAAATAACTCCCAAGCGTCAGTTTTAACACCAGGGAAAAATGGGTCGAAAACGGCTCGAAGTAAAACTACGCGAATAAACCGAAAATCTTCGAACGATCCGACGAACGATAATTAAAAGGCAATCGAGCTAATACACGCATAAAGTAAAATAAAATAAACTAAAAGTAATTTAATCAAATAAAGCATAGCAATCAAAATAAAATGAAAGACGAAAAAATCTATAAATCGAAAAGGGGCGCTACAGACACGATTGTACAAAATTCGAAAAACATTGGGTTAGAGAAATCCGTTTAACCAATGCGATCATCATCTGCAAATGTGATCTCGCTGTTGTAGTTCATTGTAAAAACGACGAACGATTGTTTTGCAGAAATTGTTTCCTTGTACAATGATGTGCCATTTATCAAAAAAATTTACAAAAGCTTCAAGTGGGATTGTTGTTAGCCTTATGGAAGAGGAATAGGCAAAATGACAAACACAAATTACTTTTTCCTTATACAAAACAAAGGCATCAAACAATATAAATTGATTGATTAGTTATTTATTATCAACAATGACAAGATTATTACATGAAATGTGACAAGGTATTTGGACAAACATAAAAAACATACAGACATTTTATCCTAACAGCATTGGCATGGAGACCAATCAGAGTTACTACATACTGTAGTTTTGGAAGTTGCGATTTTCTTTTTCTCTACGAATGTAGCCAAAGGCGATCGTGCAGGCGGTCTTCACCAGCTCCAAACATCTCATCAACCCTTTCGCCATCTCTGTAGAAATGGAAAGTGGGCGTGTAACGAATGTGTTGAGTCGTCTCGGGACATTCATCAATATCAGCATAAACAAACGAGAGCTTGGGGAACTTGGAACTTAATCGGCAGAACACGGGAAGAATCTGACTGCAAACTCGACACCTGAGAAACACAAAATAATTATCACCTTTATATGCATTTATCATTAAGTTTGACAGAGTACAACGAGTCATGAGTTCGATAACAAGAAATATTTTTTGGATGAAGCATTTCATCGAACACGATGTCAACTAGGAAAAAAATGCACAAATGCAAGTAAAAATACTCAAATATCTAGCAAAATACGTACATACCAAGATGCACCATAGTTGATGACTGTCTGCAAAGAAGATTTTCCAGGGCATAAAATTAGCTCAATCAATACTTTCACACAACAAATTAAGAGATAAATAGTTGGACAAGTAAAAGAAAAAAAGGAATCTTTGCTTACAGTTCTTTTGGAAGTTTTGATTTGCTGAAAGATATCTGTGAGATTGTCATCATTATCTGCAGAGATAAGGTTACCTGAAGAATTTTTTAGCAAGCTATTTTCTGTTGTCTTGTCCATCTCTCAATTTTGTGCACTTTCGGAAGATAAATACACTGCTGTTTAGTATGCTTTTTGACTCTTTCAATCAAACGCCAAGACTCTGGTGCCAAATAATAATTAAAAAAATCAAAATGCTTTTAATAAATAAATAAATCCAATCAATATATNTATATATATCTTACTAGGAGGTATCTGGTCGTGGCCCACTATTGATTTGTGAAGTTAATTCCCATTTTAGAAGTTGAGTTAATAAGTAAAAATAGAGCAAGTGCATATTCACAATTCTTAATACCAGCTGCATAATTATACCTTAAAGTAATATATTAGAACACCTTTGTAGTTATTAGAAAGTAGTGCAATAAGCGATAAGACATAACATGTGTTAACTCAGATCTGAGATGTATTGTGTAGTTAATTTAAGGCAAAGTTGTAACAAAATTGTACCAATTATTCAGAGCTCCACACAGCTTTGAAGAAGGCTAGTTCAGGTCCCATCTTGCTTTTGCTTGAATGCTTGAAATTGTAACTGCTATGTGCATGCAGAAAAAAAGTGGTAAGTAGATAATGGCCTGAGAGTTTTTACTGTACAATTTGTACAAAATCAATTTCNATAACAACAATAGAAACTATATGCGTAGTTGGAGATTTTTCTCCTCTTATAAAAAGTATATTTAATATAACAAAAAGAAAAAAGACACTAGATTCATTTCTCAGTAAGAAATTCCTAGAAAAAAAAATAAATAAAATAAAAAAAAAAACAATTTCAATTGAAGTTCAATTTTCCCCCAATTTCAATTCAAGTTCTAATCAAGCTAATTCATCACCTCCAATGAAAAACCAATTACCTCTGGAGTCGACGAGCGATTTATGGTGGTGCAGGGCTGTGGGGTGGCGAGCGGAGACGCTGTGGGTCGTAAAGCGGCGACTTAAGGAGGTTGAGGTGGAGGCGCTGAGGCGAGGCGGGGTGGCGCGTGAGAAGTGAACTGTGAAAGAGATCTGAGTTGGGAGCGCCGAGCGGGATGAAGGAGAAGTGACTGTGAAGAAATCGCTCGTGTTCTACACACTTGTTAAAGAAAATTATTTTCATTATATTTTTAATTAAATAATAATAAAAACAAAAATGTATTTTAATTTTAAATTCTTTTTTAAAAAATATATTATTATTTATATTCAAAATGAAACTGTCACTTACACGATTTATCATCCTATGTTATAATTTTTATTAATTTGTATCATATAACTATAATTACTTTGTAGTTAAGTTAATTTAATAATTTTATTTTTAAAATAAAATAGGTAATTTAATTTTCATTATAAAGATAAATAAAATTATTTATTTATTTTGTATGTATAAGATATAGATGTCAAATCGAAAGTCATCAAGACATGATTATTTTGATATATTATATATTAAAAATTGTTAACAAATAAAAAGAAGTTTATTAACTTTTAAATATATTTATAATCAAGTTAGTAAATTTTTATTATTTTAAAAGAAATATGAGAAAAAAAAAAAAGAATTGTTGAGAAATTATTATACTTTATAAACTATGTCTAAAATAGGAAATGATATTAAAACATAATTAACACTCTTAAAAATGACCATAAATATCCAGTATATTTATGGATATTCCAAGCCTACTTTTGGATTGGAAATAAATTTAAAGTCATCCAAGCGAAACAACAAAACTTAAAAATTTGCCAATTAGAATCCCGAAGCGTGTGAGCCTGCCACTTAGGCTCAATACATTTGAGAATTATACATAGGGATGATTATTAAATTGTTTAAATTATTATATATAAAAATAAATATTATATTAAAATCAGATCGGGTCGATGAATGATAGGGCGGGGCAGGGTTTGAGGCCCGGACTTGGTCCTCTCAACTAACGGGCAAGAAGTGGCTCAACCCATTTTGGAAACCGAGCAAGTTTAATCTGCCCCAAATGCTTCGTAACGACTGGGTCAATTGGGTTAAGGTCTTTTTGCCATCTCTATGGCCTAACTGTTTGAAGGGTATGTACTTTTATTTATTTTACTTTTTAAAGTATGACACTTCAGTTTAAAAATCCCTCTTATATATAGTTTTAGAACGCGCTAAGTCTAAGTGATAGCTTCGCACGCTCTGTAATCTTATGTGGTAAAATATTATGTTTTGTAATATTGCTCGGATAAAAATAATCATTTTTTATACAAAATAATTTAGGTTCGGATTGCCATATATATACACATATTTAATATATTTAACTATTCCATATAAATCTATGGGAAATGCTAGGTACATAATATTGTACATAAGGGTGTACATAACACTCACATTTAGTGGGACTCACCAAAAATAAAAAGAAAAATGCTACAATTACATAATAAATATACATAAAGATATACATAACACTCATATGGAGTGGGGTCCACTTGATTTTTTATTCTTGGAAAGATCCACCTAATGTGAGTGTTATGTACACCTCTATGTACACCTATAGCATTTCTCAAACAAAAAAAATAAGTGGGCCCCACTCCATGTGAGTGTTATATACACTTCTATGTCCATTTATTATGTACATGTGGCATTTTTCTAAATCTATTTCTTATCTTCCTTCTATAATTTGCTTATAATCTTACTTTCCAAATTTTGTGATTTGTCCATATTATTCCCTTATGTGATTTAAATAAGAATATTGTAAATAGAATTAATGATGTATATAAATTAGGTTTCAGATTTGAAATATATATATATATATATTTTTTTTTTTTTTTGCCGAAACGATAGAGGTACTATATTAATAAAAACCGCACAAAGTGCGAAGAGAAAACAGCCAAAAGCTGAGTAGTACAACCAAGGGTTGAAAAGACTGGGAGGAAGATCCGAAGATCGCCTAGAGCCTGCTAGCAACGCTAGAAAGACAAACTCGTAACTACACGAAAGCACCTAACACGGACAAGAACTAAAACAACTAAAAAGATCCCAACAGGATAATGTCCGAGTGTCAGATCTCAACGGGATAATAAGTTTACACCCAGGCTCACAGAGACCAAAATGGTCCAAACCAAAAATACAAGACCAAAGAACAACACTAACACAGACTCTAACAACTAAACATAAACCAAAATAACTACATCTAACAAATCAAGCCCTCCCTCAGCAGAACACCTGAAACTGAACGAGAGGACAATAGACGATTCTTAGAGGAGATCCGGGACACAAGAACCACGCCCGCCACTGCTGCCGAACGCCTAGCAAAGGCGAAGACTCACACCTCGAGTCAATCCAAGAACCGACCCGCTCTCTAGCCAAAAGATGCCACTAACGTCCCAAACCCACGAACGGCCCAAAACCGGCTAACACCACTAGCCAGTTACGGTAACGTCGATCCTCCCCCGGACTCAGCACCAGAGAACAGGGGAGAAGGAACACGAACAACATCAAGCCCTGGTCACTCCGCCATAGCCGGTACGAACCCAAGCTTCCTTCCCAGCCCCACAACAACAAACCCCATCCTAAATCCTCTATCAATCTAAAGAGGCGGTGACAGGAGACCGTAGAACTGTTAGAGTAGGGTACCCGGCGTTCCAATCTGATTGGACATATTCTACTTGTAAATACAGTCTATTGGAATTATAATATGAATAAGGCATTTCTTTATCTTAAGAGAAAGCATTTATCTTATAAATACACTTAAGATAAAATCCCTAGATCACTTATGGTTATAAGGTATGGTTGCGCATAGAGATGGTGATCATGGAACATACCTTGAAAGCCGTGATCTTAAATACAGTTCCAAGTCGATGGATGTTTCGAGATGGGATATCGAATAATCCATAAAAGACTTGCACATAGTTTGTACGCTTGTTGGACAAGAATGTTGCATTCCATCAACATTAGCGTGTGACGCAAATACATTTATGTGGGTGCTTGTTAGAGAACAAGTTCACTGAACATGACCGTATGAAAATTCTTAATGAAGAATTATTTTAGTTAATAATCTGTCGAATAAGAATTTTCATGTTACAATAGTACATGACTAATCCTAAGACTTGAGGCACAATGGTAACTTTGTGCATATTACATTCTACTTTGATTTATCCTTTTGGTAGCTAGCACTATCGTATAAAGGGATATTTTGGGTATTATGTTAATATGTATGGAAGTTTGTTAGTGGCCAATAAAGGATTCGACACTTATGAAGATAAGTGAATTTCCTATGTGTTTCATAGTTATTAATCCAAAGTCCTTGGCCAAGGTAGAGATGAATAGTGATTCATAAACGGGTTAATAAACTTGAAATAGAATCATAGTTATTAAGTCAATTTGGGTTTCGACAAAATCATACCCAAGACTTAATCGGGAAATTAGATGTCGAAAGGATTTTACATGTATGGAGTTGTAATTGAAATAGGTTTACTCGCTATTCACTTAATACTAGATTCATGCTGCTTGCTAGGTGTTACAATGATATGTGGGTTCTAGAATTAAAGAGTTAATTCAAGAATAAGAGTTAATTAGATTTAACTCAAATTACAAAGTGTTGTAAACCCACTACTAGTATTAATAGTGAACCTAAAAGGTCACACTAATTATGAACAAAGGTAAAGATTGTATTTTTAATGGTTAGAATTAATTGATAAATATCTAATTTGATTAGATGTCAATTAAAGGAATATATTAATCAATAAGATTGATTAATTACATTTTGGATATTACTTTAGTAATTAAGGTAATTACTAAATTAATAAAGTTGAATTTTAAAATAGGATTTTAAATTTCAAAATCCAAAATAATAATAATATGATTATTATAATATGGATAAAAATTGGGAAAATGATATAATAATAAACTCTTGAGAAAGATTCTCAAGATTTATTATTCAATTATTATTTATATCTTTAAATATGATTTAAGGATTAAAATAATAAATATGATTATAATAGATGGTTGGTAATGGTGGTTATGAACAACCAAACATAGATTATTATTTTCAAAGTCAATAGTTAGTAAACATTATTTAAATAAAATATGATTTTATTTAAATATTACTAAATATTGATTATTTTATGCTAAAATGTTTAGTATAAATAGATGCAAAATGTTTGCAAATATTGAAAAGTGATTTTGTGAGAAAATCAAAGAGAGAAGAAAGTGTTCTTCAAGAAAGTGTTCTTGATAATTCCCAAATTATATCTATATATATATTCCTATACAAGAAAAACCGAGACATTTCTACTAGCGAAGAAAGGTCGTCGGAACCGGGCTTCATAGGGTGGATACGATTAGAGGGAAGACACTTGAATTCCTAAAGCGAGTAACCTCAAGCCGTTGAAGTTACAACCGGGAACCGATTCCCACAATCCACATCTTTGTTGAAGGAGTTCAAGACACTCGGTAAATATTTCGNA